CATTCCTCAAGGTTCCAAGGAAGGGAATAGAAATCTGAATGTAGCACCAGAAATCTGAACCCATCTGCTATGAACAGAGGCAGAAACATAAAGGGGAAGGTTATCAAAAGAGACTAGCTAGGTCTAGACTCCCGAAAGAGTGGTGATAGAGAAATGAAAAGGGATAAAAAGATACAAAAACAAAGGACACTGCAGAGGGGGCAGTGAAATTTAGTGATTCATTTAATATGGGCAACTCATGAATATAAGATATCTGAGAGGATCAGTTCAATTTCTGTATTTTCAACCTTTATATGCAGTGTATCACAATTTTTCTTATGAATGGATTTGAAATTTATTTTAATGTTACAGGCCAGGACTTATTATTTTAAAATTCTATTTCAACAAACTACTTATAAAGTTAAATTATCTCAGATTTTTTTTCAGCTTTAATTGAGTTTATTGGTACATTTTAGGGATACAGTATAGTTACATTCATTGTTGGGATCTTGCACCTCTACATGACAAGTCTTGATTCTCATTTTTTCCCCTTACCCCTGCCCTCCCTTCACCCCCTCCTCCCCTCCCCATCTACAAACACTTTATTTCCATCTTTTCATTATCTCACATTTTTTTACTATTCAATCTCACTCTTATTTCCTGATTTCCTACAGAGAACATTTTTTGATGGGGGAAATCTCGACTCTTTTCCAAATTATTTCATGAAAGTTTGTGAACATAAAATTATATACAATGCATAGGAAAATTTATACATATTGAGGATACACTTCTAAGTGAAATACATAAGTCTCACATGTGTAAATACCGAATAGTTTCTCTGGTGTGAAAAACTATAATAGTACATAACATCCTAATGAGATAAGTGACAATGTGAAATAGGAAGGAAAGGGCTAAAGGTGTAGGGAAAGTGGGAAGGGTGGGGGAAAGGTAATAAGGGAAAAGAAAAAAATATGAGAAAATGAGAAAATGGAAATAAAGTGTTTGTAAATGGGGAGGGGAGGGGGGGTGAAGGGAGGGCAGGGACAAGGGGAAAAAATGAGAACCAAGACCTATCGTGTAAAGGTACAAGATCCCAATATTGAATATAACTGTACTGTATACCTAAAACATACCAATAAACTCAATTTAAAAATTTTTTTAAAATCATATACAATGCAACAAGTAAACAAACAACAAGAACACAAGTTGTATATTTTGGATAAATTTGCTACTCCCAAAATATTTGTTTTATTTTCTTTATAGCATCATATCTGAAATGCTGGTTATATACTTCTTTATTATTACCCTCTCTGGACCATTCTGTCCCTCACCTACTGGATTATAAATTCTGTGAAACCAGGATCTTGTCTGACTTCCTTCATACTATAGTCTAGTAAATAGAACAGTACCTGGAACAAAGTAAAGATGCTCAACAGATATTTGATAAATAAATGACAGACTGAATGACTGGACTCAGGGTTGCACTCTGTGCAATTCTAGGGATGATATTCATTTATGTGTTGTTGAAATGTGACTGTCACTCGTACTTGTGCAGTGCACAAAAACCACAGCCAGGTACTGCGGCAGGAGATAGGCAGAAACTGTGGTAACCAGCAATCACCACACAACCAGCTCACCCCTGTTTGACTCTAACGTGTCCTGTTATATTTCCAGACTGGGCATAATTTGACTCTTTCCTGATGTTCGAGAAAGCAAATAATTTTTCTCTCTAGTTTTTCCCCAAGACTAAGTTCACTCTTTGAATAATTGAATGTGTATTCAAGTTAAGGTAATATTTCATATGCTGATATCCTCTGTCAACTGCCTTGTAATTAAAGTTAACAATTTTAACTGCTGATTAATTAAGGATTTGTTGTGCCAATTATGAACTTGCCATTGCAAATCCTTTAGTCAGTTCCTCAGTACTTATAAGTTAAAAAAAGTCTCTAGAGAACTTTAGTCAGTCAGCTGAGCTAGGAAACAAGCCACTACTGAAGTTCCTAACTCAAGAATGGTCAGTTCTGTGATTCACCAATATCAATCTTCAACTTGAGAGACCCCACCCAAAATGTTTTTTAAAAATCAAGAAATAGATAATGAAGACTGCACAGATTGCCAGGCTAAATCTCATGTACCACATTTTATGAAAAGTCCACCTTCCTACTGGGTAATCTGTATCAACTAGAATACAGAAAGTCACTTCTTAGGGCTTTAAAGAGGTTGTAATTTCCATCACTAATTAATCTGGTCACTAAAAGGCTACATTTTACCACAAAGTTTTTATAAAGTTATCCTTTGTCACTCCTAACACTCACATTTGAGGCACTGTTCTAAAGAAACCATTGTCCTAGAAGTAGGTCCATAGGGCACTCCAACTGGAAGGTCTACGGTGAGTGCCAAGGCCAAGAAGTGCACTTCCTGTGTCACTGTAGCATGCCAGGTGGGATGTAAATCTAGAAATAATATTGTGTGAATATCCATTTCCTACCTCATTTTCATGTTCCTTGAGGATCTACATGCTACAACAATTTTCACTCTTCCTTTAGCAGCAGATTCTTCTTTCAACAAAAATGTATGAAGTTAAATACATAAAGCATATAAAAGCTGAGCTGTTGGCTGATGGGACCAAAAGAGGCCAAAGGCCTTGTCCACATCCCTTAAACACCCTAATAGGACTCTGGAATATTAAGGGGATAAACTGACCGAGTCTGAAAACCAATGGTCTAGTGAGGATGAGGATGATTTAATTTAATAATGATGGTCTATAAAAGAACAATAACAATAAATCATGGTCCTAGTTTCACAAGAGCTTTTTCTAGATGCAGTGTCTCTGATAAAATGTTCACCCCTCTTGCCTGAAACCACAACTCCTCTGTTTCATAACTCTAATCTCTAGCATCAGAGCACTCAGAGGCTTCAGGGGAAGCCATATGCATACTGCCTTGTGAATGCTCTCCAAAACAATGCAAGAGGAGCGTCCCTATGAAGCCTGGGGCTTCCCCTGATCTATGTAGCTGCCTGACTCAAGGTCTGGCGCTTTAGAAGTATTTAGCCAAAAAAATTAAACAAAAAACAGGAAAAGAAAGGTTTAACTAACTAGTATTAGAAGACCTATACCACCTGAAAAAAGCAGAATTTCATCTAACTATGCAAAAGTTACATAGTGTCACATATGGGCTACCTCCAAGAGTAAAAAAGGAAGTTCTAAACTCTCTCAGTCAAAAAAGAATTTCCAGTATTCTACTCATGCACAGCCTTGCACTGAGAAATCTACAAGTCAGGCACTGAACAGAGAAAGTTTTGAACCTAGATTGTCCTAACCATCATTAGTTATTTTATAAGATAGATGAGAAGTAGTGGAAAATATAGAGTTCTAATGAATTTTATTTTAATATATCTGTCCTACTACTGTGGCCTAATCTGGTGAAGTTCTAACTGAACTAAATAAGGATGAGACATACATGAACAACAGCAGGACCAAATTACTCATGCTATTACCCATAGGGAGTACTTTCTCGGCACAAAAAGTAGGTGAAAAAGCACACTTAATGTGGAAAATGCTGCAGTTATATCAAGTAAATATAAATATACAAGACTATAATTTTAATTTTGTATTTTATTTTAAAGGGTTTACATACTCATAGGAATAAAAACAAAAGCATCTATACCAAAATATTACCAGTGGCTATCTCTGGGTGGTGATTTCCATTTTGTTTAAACTTTTCAACATTTACCAACTACCTCTGGAGGTTCAGGAAAAACTAAATACATTTAAAACAAAAAGAAATTTTACTTACTGATAAGTATACCTGAAATTCTGAGACTGGTATGTAAATGCTAGATCTGCCCTTAACAGTGACTGTGTGGCCAAATGCCAGTGATAACTTGCTTTGGTTTGAAGGGCTCGATGCAAATGCTCAGGTGAGGCAACCTAATTGCTATTGGCAGCCTCATAAGCCCAGAAGTACAGCTGAAGGGGACATGCTTGCCAGTCCTCAGGAGCTACTCAGTCCTACATAAACCAGAACTGCCACTGCCATGAGGCATCTCCATAGTAAACAGCTAGCACCAGGCCCACTTAGAAGACCTTGCTTCTATGAGAATGAGTTTTACATACTGTTTAAGACTGCTTTGGTATGAAAAAGAGGAGATAGTATACAGTACTGCCTCCATGGTACAAGACTGAGACTAACATACAGTGCTGAGTGTCAGTAGGCAACCACTTAGAAACTCTTCTACAAAAAGAGATTTATTTAATGTGTTCACAATGATATAATCATCAAAGATTTAAAATACTTAGCACAGGGCATATCTCTAGTGTTCTGTATTGGTAAATGGAGAAAAAGGGGCAAAAATCCTAAAGGACTTAGGTGAGATTCAGCAAGACATATGCTATCCCAAAAGAAAAGAGCTAGTACATTAAAAGCCAGACATCCATTAGTGAACATCAGAGGTAAGAGGACATTTGAAAAAAATATTGGTGACCCTGACCTTGGTGATAAACACCGAGGAGACAAAAACTGAAGGCAAGAAAATTAAGTGGGCCTTAACATTATTACTTGCAGAGCTCAAGAGACAAGCAGGTCAAAGCAAATGATGAACAGGAAACCAATCAATTCAACATAATCACTGCCCAATCAGAAGTATTCTTGATGATGTTCACAGTACTAGTAAAACAACAGCAACAGCCAGTTCAAAGGGCATACATTTGCCGAGCTTTGATAAGAACTGCTCTGCTCACAGGAAAGAATGCAAGAGGTCTTTGGCTGGAAATTTCCTACCACCTACATCCAGCCTGAGTCAAATGTCATCTGCCTTTATTGTCCTTCAAGGCAAAAGGAAAGACTCTCAAGGGGTGAGTCAGAGCAGCTCCAGAAGGGAAAAGTGACCTCCCAGCACACTATTAAGTGTAGAGGAAAACAGACAGAATGTCTCTGAGATCTAAGACTGGCCTCCATTCTCAGAGAACAACTTGCCTGAACTTAGGACAGTGGAGTGGGCCACTCTCTGACATTACATACCTCTGGCAGCTACGGTTCGCATCTATGAACAGGTTCCTTGACAGTAATTCCCATGTACACTTCCTGATGTAGGCTCTTGTCCTACATTTCATACGTTTCTCAATCAGACACTTTTGTACATTCCCAGGGACTCAATGATATTCCTAAAATAGAGGAGTAATTTAAGCTTAACTTCAAAATAGAATCATAGAATTTGAAAACTAAAGAGTCTCACAAATCCAGTATAGCTCATTATAAATAAAAGCATTAAAGACTGGAAGCAAAAAATTCGCAGTGGGGTATTTCTACCTCCCACTTTCACCTTTTCTTTTTCCTTAGAATTTTTAGTTTTCTTACTGCCATAAAATATACATAAAAACAGCTCTCTCCACCTTTTCTTATTTAAAAACTAAGTCTTTTACTCTGTCACACAGAGTAAACACACTTTTACCAACTATCTTAAATAGTCAATTATCACAAATTAATCATAGCGTTTCAAACTGAAAATAAAAGTAACTATCGACTTACCATCTTCTCAAGATGACATAAAAACTGATCTTCTCTCTGGGGTCAAAACATACCCTTATAAGTTATACTTTTTATATTTATATATCTATATTGGTGTGTTTATAACCAGGAAGCTACATGTAATGTTTTGCCCTTCAAACAGAACAAAAAGTATTACTTAGTTAGCTTCTCATTCACAATTTATATTTATATGTGAAAGAATGTGGACTCTAATGGTAGTAACAAAAGCAGTGGCTTTTAATAGTGTTTAATCAACAACATTCATTTGTTCTTTACCTCTCTCCTAAAATCTGTAAGAAACAGACTCAACCTTTTTAGGCTCAAAATAAGGCCTACAACATCGAATATCTGATAAAAACTAAGGTGGTTCTTTTCCCCCTACTTACATCTCAATAAAATTATGGACTTCTTGAAGCCATCTTTAGACAGATGAAATCCTAAGGGATTCAGTGAACAAAATGAAGTAACTGCTCTTTTGAGCAAACTATCAAGATTAAATCTATAAAAAAACAATTCTTAGAATAAAAGAGACCACACTTTTGATACTCCTATAGAACCTAGTTTTCCCAGGCAATCCCCTCTAATCATTTTATCCTATCTATAAGAAATCATGCTACTCCTGTAAATAACTGAATAGTCACAAAAAGCAGCTGTTATAATTATTTTTTAAAATTCTAAATAACTAGGCTCCCTTGCCATCAATTTAAAATTATTCAATTAAAGCTTCAATAATATATTTACATATTACAAAAGAAAATTATCCCCTGATCTTACCAATGTACAGTTTATAAACCTAAAGGTTTATTAAAAAAAGACAGAAATATGATGTTGAAGTCTCATATTGTTTCATATAATAATAATGTGTTTGTTTTAAAAAATGAAATAATGTTTGGAAAGAAAACTTAATTAATGCTTGCTTTGAATGCACATAGGTGACTTGACAAGCTAGTTATCAAAAAAGGAAGCAAAGAAGATGGACATGGTAGCACATGCCTATAATCCCAGACGCTGGGAGGCTGTAACAGAATGATCACAGCTTCAGGCCTGGCTTCTGCAACTTGGCAAGACACGTCTCAAGGTAACAAAATAAAATAGGGGTGGGAATTCAGCTCAGTGAGAAAGCCCTGGATTCAACCTCCAGCACCAGCACTATCACAAAAAAAGGAGAAGAAGAAAGAAAGAAAAAATAGATTTAACAGTTTTTTTTTTTTTTGGAAGTTGGACCTAATAAAAAGAAATATGAGGCACAACTGTTTCAAAAGCTTTTAAATTTAAAATGCAATACAAATTTGAGGCTTATAGATGGCTGACAAAACCAGGCCTGTTTATCTCCACTTCCCTCTGACTCCACATAAAAATGACAGTAAAGAAAGAAAAATATATAAATCCATGAAGACAAAAGAAATGGAAAACTATCAATGAAGACAATATCCACCAAGGGTATTTTGCAAGCTAGACAGCGGAGATGACTGACTGAAGGGCCTGAGAAGCAAACAAAAAGCCAGAAGACTTTCCAAAGCCTCGGGAAAGGAGGCTTCCATTAGCTCAGATGGCGAGACAAGGGGTAGGACTGGAAAAAGCAGGTATGCATAAAAAAATACCCTTCATTATATATAAAGATCACTCAAAATAAAGAACTAAAAGTAAGATCTGAAACTATAAAATTCCTAGAAAAACCTCATGACACTGGACTTGATAATTGATTTTTCTGGATATGACACCAACAGCACAAGAAATGAAGGTAAAATAAATAATAAAAGCTTCTGTACAAGTCTGGGCACTGTAATATATCCCTGTAATTCCAGATGAGGCAGGAGGAGGGCAAGTTTGAGGCCAACTAGAGCAACTTAGTGAGACCCTGTGCCAAGGCTTCCTGCATGACAGAAGAGTTCACTGAGTGAGAAAGGACAGTGAGAGATTAAGAAATGTAAAGAAGAAGACAAAGTTTACATACTGAGGCCAGGTGGAAACTTTGCCCTGTGAAAAGGCTTGGCTTGCATCCTCAGCACCTTTATTTATAATGTACAGGAGGAAACCAGAAGGAGATGCCTGAGTGGAACAGGAGAACGGGTAGGGTCTACAGGAGACAATGCTTGATGTTTCTCTGGTGGATAGGCGGGAAGGAAGACAGTCCTCTTCTTGGCCAGGCCTTGCTCCACCACGCCCTCTTGTTGCCTGTTCTCCTGCAGAACCCTGCCTTGTGGATGGGAGGAAGCAAACAAGAGGCCAGTTCCTCATTCCACACAGGGCCCTGCCTCATCCACAGGAGGAGGCAAGTTAGGCCTGATCTACAGTGTAGTACTCCCAGCAACGCTGTCTCAAAATTTTTAAAATGATTGGAAGTATAACTCAGTGGCAGAGCATACTGAGTCCAATCATCAAAAATAAATAAGTAAATACACAAGTAAATAAATAGAGCTGGGGATATAGCTCAGTACCCCTGGGTTTAATCACCAGTGTTGCAAATAAAAGAAAAAAAATAGGAAAGTTTATAGAGCAAAGAAAACCATCAACACAGGAGAAAAGACAACATACAGAATGGAAGATATGTACCAACCATGGATCTGCTTAAGGCATTAAAAACCTTAAAAGCGCATATGAAAAATATTAATAATAATAAAATAATGATAACTACAATTTTTAATTCCTATAATCCAACAACAAAAACACAATCCAATTTAAAAATGGACAAAGGACTTGAATGGACATTTCTCCAAAAATGTTATACAAATGGTCAATAAGTATAAGAAAGGATATTCAACATCACTGATCATCAGGAAAATATGAATGAAAACCACAATGAGATATAACCTCTCATGTTATACCGATGGCCACTACCAAAAAATAGAAAATGATAAATGTTGGCAAAGTTATAAAGAAACTCGAACTGCTGGACACTCTTGGAATATAAAATGTACAGTGACTATAGAAAACAGTCAGATGCATAAAATATTAAAAGTAGAACTCTCATAGGACTCAGCAATCCTACTTCTGATGTAAATCTGAAATATTTGAAAACAGGAGCTTGAAAAGATATTTGCATGTTTATGTTCACTGCAACCTTATTCACAATAGCCAAGAACAGAAGCCACCTAAATGTTCACTGACTGATAGCATCCAACCTTAAAAAGAAAATCCCATCATTTGCTGTAACCTGTTTTGATCCATGAGGATCATTATTCCAAGTGAAAGCGGTCAATCAGAAAAAGACAAATACTGCATGATTCCACTTAAATGACTTAAGAAACAAAGTAAAATTACAATTCACAGAGGCTGGGAAGCAGGAAAAGCTGTTATTTGTTAGGTACAGAGTTTCAGTTTTTCAAAATGAAAATGCCCTAGAGATCTTTTGCACAATAATGTACACATGGTTAGCATTGCTATACTGCACACTGTAAGTAGTTAAGATGGTAAATTTCATGGGATGTGGTTTTTACTACAATAAAAAAATTGAGATACTCATTTAAGATTATCTGGGTGGGCCCAATGTAACTATAAGGTTCACAGAAGTGGAAAAGGCAGAGAGAAGAGTAGGTAAAAGTAACGCAATGTGAGGAACACCTGACCTGACACTGCTGACTTTAAAGGAGGAAGAAGGCCTCGAGCCACAGAACACAGCTGACCTCTGGAGCCGGACTCTCCCCTAGAGCCTCTAAGAAAGAATGCAGTCTGTCAACACCTTTATTTTAGAGAAAATGGTATAGCAAGACTTCAGACCTGGGGATACCAGAAAAGACTGGAATAGTCTCACAGAGATCTAAACACTACAGGGGTGTCCTACATGACTCCCCCAAATCCTCACTGTCAGGCTGATAAACCTCAGAAAGGTGAACAGAGGATTCCTGTTTGAAGAAACTAAAATGTCAAGAAAAACAAAAATCTACACATTCTGATGAGTAATGGCCAGGTTCTTCCATGCCCAAGGACTCTCTAGCAAAGCCCAGACAACTAACTTCTAGTCTACTTTTTATTGTCTCACTCTTAATAAATGGCCATTAATGCATATACTGTGTTGTTTAGAAATGGGTAGGAGAATATCAGAAAATAGAACTTAAAAAGGGTTATCTTTAGGCAGTAAGGTTATTTAAAAATGGAGAGTAGCTATTATAGTACCACTTGAATTACTGAACAATCTACACATAATTACCTCAAAATAAATAATAACAAAAAGGAAAGACAGAGAGAAGAGTGAGAGGAAGGGAGCAGCTAGGGAGGACAGAGAAGACTGATCTAAAAAAGCAGTTCTATACATCGTTATAAAGTTGAGATGTTCATCTACACAGAAAGAAAATAGCAACTGTCTTAACATTATGCATATGGCTACTTGTAGTTTAGAATAAAATTTCCAATTACAGCACCATATGTAAATTCTAAAAGTACTGGATTACAAACAACTAAAATGACACCATACTGTAGAAAATGGTATTGAATGCTGGAAAATGAGATTCTATAATAGGGAAGACACCAGTGTCAAATATGTGTGTAAAGAGCTGGAAAAATTATTCTGTGGTAGGAAAAAACATTAGTTATACTTTGTTTTGTATAAATATGTCATTGTTCAATGTACATATAACTAAATTAAATGGTATATACATGTGTTTATTTCACCTATATCCCCAAATATTTCATATATATCTTAAGTTGGCCACAAGGAATTAATTTTTTAGATCTTTCTATGGGAATACACAAAAAATAGTAATTAAGCATAAAAAATAAAGAAATTAAAAATCTCTTTTACCTGAATCATGTTGTTTTTCTTCATTAGTCTTCTTTCCAATCTAGGGGAAAAATAAATAAATTAAAGTGCATTCTTTGTGTAATGAGCTGCTTATAAGTAATAAATTGCCAGGTGTAGTGGTACATGCCTATAATCCCAGCACTCAGGAAGCTGAGGCAGGACTGCCACCAGTTCAAGACCAGCATGGGCTATGTGGTGAGTTCAAGGTCACCCTGAACTACAGAGTGAGACCCTGTCACAAAGAAAAAAAGAAAGAAAAAAGAAAAGATATCTAAAATTTAAGTTAATTCCTATTCACTTCTTGTTATCTATGGGGGAAGGAATATCCTTTTTCCACTTATGCTTACTTCTGGCAGTCTTGATATTCAGAGTAAGTTGCTATTACACAAAGTCAAGCATAAGCAAGAGTGTAAATCCAATGCCAAAAACATGTTACACAGTAAGTACAACTGATGGTGTAGTGAGGATTTTTCTTTCTTTTTTTGGTACCAGGTATCGAATGCAGGACTTTGAGCTTGTGAGGCAGGCAGTAGAATCACTGAGCTAAATCCCTGGCACCTGTGCATTTATAAATTATCCTCTCTCCATTCAGAGAAATGACTGCTAATGTATTACATATAAATGATTAAAAAAAGGAAAGCACATTTCTCAAACTATAAGAATTATAATTCTGGGATAAGAAGGGAGGAGCAAAATGTTTACATTTTCACTTTTACCAAAATGCAATCTACAACAAGCTAAGTGGAATAATTACAGACCACAAACACAGGCATATAATCAAAGGACTTACATACACAATTAATCCACTTCACGCTAAAGGCTTAAAAATGCTTCTTCTTTCATTTCATAAGACTTTCTTGACTAAAATATGACCCTTCAACACAGAAATGTGAATATTTAACTAGACTATACATGCACATGTATTAGGGTACTACAGAAGGGGGGCAGGTACCATTTTTAAAAATTAATAAATGTTTTTATTAGTCTATTGCATAAAGAAAAGCCAAAAATCTTGAGTAGCTTAATAAATTTTTCTTAAGTAAACACATGTAACCACCCAATCTCCCAAAAGGTCACTATTGCCCTGACTTCAAACGCCACACATTAGTTTTCTCTGTTGGCAAGGTTATTTGAATATAATTATTATTCATAGATCTAGCTGACAGTCGTACAATCCTTGTATTTGGACTAAAATGCTTTAAGGAGAGAGAGGCAAGTACTAGCTGGCTCTAAGTAACACAGTTTCAGAGAGAGGAAGAATTTTGGCTGGTTGGTTGGCTGGCTGGCTGCTTGAGGTGAATCTGCCAATTCTCCAGATATCTTAGAAGCTATTTTATGATAGAAATGAAAGAAAAAGGGCCTTCATATGTGTCCCGGATAAATGTGCTACTGGACCTTGATGGGGGAAGATAGGAGCAGAGGGAACAGAGAGGCAGAGGGAGTTTGGCCTCTTTTCCATGGTGCAAAAACACTCTATAAACAAAGATAAAACTTGTATGTGTAGAAGCTAGACTAAGTTACTATTGCCTTATTTCACCCACCCTTCCAATTCCTATGAAAGCTGTTTTGCTCCTCCCAGCCAACAGGTAAGGATAGCCTCAAAGCAGCAGTAGGTTGTATTAAGTTAACAGTAGGTGAAGCAAATTAATTCCTCTTTAAAGTCTGTATGCAGGGCTAGAGACTGGATAAACAAAATGAGCAATGTTCTCAGAAACAAAGCTATGTGATTAGATGCAGAATAGGTTGTGCTGTTTCTGCCCACAAATCATTTAAAGAAAAGGAATCAAGTTTTCAGGATCCAGAATCTTCTAAATTATCAAAAAAATCAAATGGCTCTGCCACTCATGAAGTAGTCATTTATCTTTCTGTATCTCAAAGGAGCGGTTTTAACAGAAACCCTTATACTTCGCAAGCTGTACTATTCTGGCATGTTAACTGCTTTTATTGAATTTGGTGCTTTCCCTCTGCAACAGGAGATACCAGAAGAACAGGGAGCAGTCACAGGTGTAGAAAGACAAACTGCCACCTGAGATATTGGGGAATCATGAAAATGGCACCTTCCAATGGCATGTCAAAGCCGCATTATAAAGTAGGGGCCAACGGGGAGCATAGTTCATAAAAGAACTTTCTATGAGAGGAAGAAGGGAGTGAGGAGAGGAGACAGAGAAACAGAGACTCACTTTTAAATAATGTAGCAGGAGGCGTCCCCCTGCAGCCTGGGGTCAGGAGTTGGGGTTTGGGTCTCAGGGAAGGGAAGAGCAGGCTAGCCGGTGGGCAGGTGGGCAGGGAGGAGGCTCCAGGGGGTGAGGGAAGGAGCTGTGAGGAGCAGGCAGCATGGACGCCACAGAATCAGCAAGGAGCACCCAGCCACTGCTGCGCCCCTATGGCCATGGGGAGGACACTCGCAAGGACCTCATACCTCCTCTATGAAGGCAGACAAGTCCAACCACTATCCCCAGTTTGAACCAATAGTCTCTCTTCCTGAGCAAGAAATTAAAACGCTGGAGGAAGATGAGGAACTTTAAAAAATGTGAGCAAGTCATTCCCATTTGCTTCAGAGAACGATAGCCCAGAATGGAAAGAACAAGGCACCAGTGACATCAAGCTCCTAAAGCACAAGGGACAAGACCCTGAAAGATCTGTGCCAACCACTGAATCATGCCCTCCACAGAGCAAATGCAAGATCCTGGGTCTGGAATCCCCACGCTGATTTCGCCGACGAGCACGCCAAGCCAGAGCTGCTTGCCATCTGCTTCCTAAATGCTGAGAATGCACACAAATTTAAAACAAAGTTTGAAGAATGCAGGAAAGAGATCAAAGAGAAAGAAAATAAAGGACTGGGCAAAATGATACTGCTGGAAAAAGTAGCTGAGAAGCTAGAAGCTCTCTCTGTGAAGGAGAACAAGAACCCTGGAGAGGAGACTGAAGAAAAGTCAGAAACACAATGAGTCTTAACTTCTCTCCTCCTTTTTCTTTTTAAAATTTTGCCCTCCCCACTTTTAAATTTATTTTTAGTTCTGTTTGTTTCTACAAGGGATTTATATACAGAACTGAATTCCAACATTGAATCCATTTTTTTGTTTTGTTTTCCTAAGTTTTTACCCCATTAAGGATAACTTCAGAAAGTTCATTTCCAGGTCATGAAAATGTACTATGCTAACTTTCTTTTCCATAGGTAGAAGCACTTATTTATAGTCAACAAAAATAGTAAATAAAAATGCATTTGAAACCCGGGGAAAAAAAGATAATATAGCAAAGACCCATAGCTAAAAAGGTTTTCTTGAATCCTCACTGGTAAATGCAAAATAATATCTCAATGACAGTAACTATGATTGTCAAGCAGGATAATATTTACATTTAATTCTACAAGACAACTGACAAGTAGGAAAAGATTAGAAACCTCACCTGTCTCATATATAAACACTGAACTCAGAGGCTATGTAACTTGTCCAAGGTCAAAAACTGATCCAGAATTGCAGTTTGAGGATGTATGAAAGGGTTCCAAATCAAGTCTATCCAATTATCTCTAGGGTATAGCACTGAACACAACAGCACTGATTTAAATAATGAATATATGTATCCGGCTCTTCTTCCCAATCTCAAATCATTTAGTAATCCTCTCACTACTTTCTACTTTCAAACTGCTTTTGCTATCATCCTAGAAAAAGGATACTGACATTCCTTCCTTCTGTGACATGGCAAAGGGGTCTTGTTAGCAAGAGGATTGAGGACATAAAACGTAAACAGGCCTGCATGGACAAACTCCATGGATTACATAACTATGAAAGCTGCTGAGAGTATGGTATCCTTTCTTACATGGGATTTAGGACAGGGAACGCACAGGAAGAACCTCAGGCATGTTTTTGCTGTGAACACATTCCATGAAGATCCATGAAGTTCTTTCTGGGACTACATGAGTAAGCAAAATTAATTGTTACACTGTGCACTATAAAGCTTCCAGGGGGGAAAATTACTTAAATTACACTCAGAAGGCTTTGGCTCTAAAGTTTTAATTAGAACTAAGAAAAGGTGAGACAAGAATTTATAGAAATTAACCCAGTGACTTTCAGAATATGGGGGTGGAAGACGGGATAAGGTACCCTTCTAGTGTCAAAAATTCCAGTATAGCAATATTCTTACTCCTATGTTTTTACTACTGATGACTTGCTCTTAAGAATAACATGGAGAAGAAGGTTCTACAAGTAAAAAGGAATAGGCATAAAAAATAAGCCAAGGAAGGGAAGAATTAAGGTTCACAAAATTCTGTAAGATACAACCTCCCGCTTTAACAAGTTGACATTTGTAAACTGCTTAGATCTGGGAGAGCAGAACTTTCAACTCTGGGATAAATCTCACTGATTGATTGACTGATGACTGACTGACTGTCAAAGGCTTCCCAGAAGCAACTATGACAGACAGTGGTAAAATTCACTGCCATTGTGCCCGATAGACATATGTCAGTTTTGATAGCTCCCTCCCAAACCCTTTAAAGCAGTTTAGTTATTTATTCTCAAGGAAAGATAGTGTCCAATTAGACCCGAATAATACAGAGACTAGTAATAAGATAATATCAACTTAATTATATTTTCCACTTAAACCATACTCTATTAGAATAATAACCACTGAAAACTTTTCCTTCTGATTCATAAATAGCATGTTATGCAAATTACAGCTTAATTTAAGAGAATACAGAATCTAAAATACAAAGTTTATGTTTTCTTCCTTTAATGTCTAATTCTCAACAAAGACAGTTTAACTGAACTTTTCCTTCCTTACCTCTGCTTGGAGAAGAACCTGTGCTATCTCTCACAAGGTGCTGAAATACCCTAGCCTGTTCTTTAGCTTTGGGGACTATAATTCACAGTTGCCCACTGGAGTCACCCATAACCCACAGACTTTCTCCTGCCAGCAGCCGGTACTGGCTTTCTTTACAAAGAAAGACTTTCCACTAGCCTCAGAGGAAAGCCTTTATCTACCTTTCACTGCACAACAGCATTCTTACTTCTTCCAGATTAAAAGAACCCAAGGAGCAAACTGAATGCTATCTCCCAGCCTTTCCTCAGATCTGCCAGAATTTATAATCAATCATGATTCTCTTGTGTAAACCACAAAGCTCTTCTGAGGGACCTAGCTGGGTGTAAAAGAAAATACAAAACATAAAAGATTATCTATTAAATACCTTGAGAGTTTAGCAGCTTCTCAACTTGTCTCTGAAATGGGCATTTGAATGGAGGATTTTAGGAGGACAGGATCCCTAGGAGAAAAAAATCCAGTATACTAAACTGTGGGTGCTAAATAAGAGATTTAGGGAAAAGGAACTCCAGAGAAATATACCACACAGTTAAGGAGGCAGTTACTCCAAAATTAGTGAAGAGTAGAGGCAACTGTGCTTCAGGAAATAGTGAGATACATTCATGGGAACAAAGCAAAACTGGTAAAAGCCAAGAAACTAAATCCGATTTGGGGTGTAATACCAAAGCAAACAATGGATCCTCTTCTCTTTCACACCAAGGGTGACCAAGTTCTGAGGAAAGAAAAGGTACTTTACCCCCTTATTAGGAAAACATTTATAATGCCAATGGTGACACTGCTGAGCTAAACAGCAACGTCAACAACACAAACACTTCCCTGTTAGGGGCCAGGCACAACTGCTGGACATTTTACGCATGTTATTTGAAGCTCTGAGACTGGCAAATACCTCTCTAGGTTCATTGATGGGAACTAGGATATATGGAAACAGAACTGGATCATTCAAACAAAAAGGGTTTTTTATTCAAATTAAATCTTCAAATTATATCCCCCTCCCCAAAGACAAATCCCAATCCCTATTTTACCTGTTGCAGGCTGCCTACCAATGCCTGAGGTTCCTAGAAATTTAACTTAGAAATCACAAAATGAGGATATAATTTTCTAACATCACAGTCTTTCTATTAAGAAGCCTTGCATCTCCTTAATAGAAATAGATTTAGTTGCTTTTAAATCCCTACCCATAGATGTGCCAACGTGATCTTCCTTGTGAGATTTAATCACAGCTTCTGGAGGGCAAAAGCAATACTACTATCTCTGTGCTTATATTGTGACAGACTCTGGTAAGCACACAGGAAGCAAATAACATATTTTTGTTACCAGTTATATCAAATCAAGCTTCTCAGTTCACCAGCAAGACTCACCTTCACTTTCCACATTAAGTCATTATTTTCGTCACTGGACTAGCACCTACCTCCAGAGATGTATTCATTATAGGTTTCTCCTTCTGCAGTTCCCTATAATATCCTCCCCATCCTGTTTCCTACCCTGTTAATACATGCACATTATCTGGCTTAGAAAAAGCAATGAAAACAGACTCACAAAGATGGAAGGACTGTGCACACAATCTTTTCTGACTTAACAAAACTTTCTTCTCAAAATGCTACATATATCCCCAAAAAGTTTTGGATAGGTAAGTAATTGTCATGACATTACATTTGAATATAATAAAGCTTCCATTGTATAGATTACTCTGCTACTAAAATTCTTTTTTAAAAAATCAGATTAAAAACTATTCATCCTTTCAAAAAGTATTTTTCTATACTATAATCTACTATAGTCTATGTAGCATCCACTTAAAATAGTACCACTATTTCAGAAAGCCCCAAAGCACATGTAATATCCCAGACATAATCTATATAGTTCAGCCATCTAAGTACTTTAAAAACAAATCTAAGTGCCTTGATTTTTTTGAATCTGGATTGTTTTTAGATACAGAGAATAGGTGTTTATGAGAAATTAAAGAAACTAGTAGAACAATGAATACTTTCTAATTTAAAATACTTCAAAAGAAAATTCAGTATGAATCATCAAAACAAGTTATCATAATAAACTTTGCAAGTCACAACAGCTATCTTTTATGTTTCTAAGAAGCAAAACTTAGAAAATAAAAGATAGAATAAGATTCCAAGTTTATCCAACTCTTATAAAACAAGAGATATAATCAAGACGTGTGATGAATGATTAAATTTTTAAAACTTTTAAATTATTATAGTAAAAGATACATTGTCCTAGTCCCCCTCAAAATACCCCCTTCACTTTGAGCACACTTGTCCCATCAACATTACTACTTTCTGAAGTCCTCTTTTGTGTCTTTTCCTGGCAGCCCTGATATCCAGCACTGATTCAAAATGTTTACAGCAAATTCTATCAAAGGAAAACATTACAATGTGTCCTCATCTACTTTATTTGCTGGTTCTGGCACCCTGTGACTTTCGCCTACTCCTCAAAGTCAAAATGTCCATGAAAGGTTAACGTTTTGAACCAGTTCAAGACATCAAGACAGGTATGACCACACAACTAAAGAGAATTCTAAGAGAGGACTTCCAATAGCAAGGTTGGTAGTGCATACCTGTAATTCCACCACCTAAGAGGCTGAGGCAGGATCATCTCAAGTTCAGGGCCAGTCTGGGCTACCTAATGAGTTCAAGGGTAGCCTGGACTACATAGCGAGACCCTGTCTAAAAGAAAAATAGTGCAAACACCGAATAATTTCTGGTATGAATAAACTATAATAGTACATAAGAGCCTAATGATATAATGGACAATGTGAAATAGGAAGAAAGGGGCTAAAGGTGTAGGGAAAGTGGGAAGGGTAGGAAAGGTAATCTAAAGAGAATTCTAAGAGAGGACTTCCAATAGCAAGGTTGGTAGTGCATACCTGTAATTCCACCACCTAAGAGGCTGAGGCAGGATCATCTCAAGTTCAGGGCCAGTCTGGGCTACCTAATGAGTTCAAGGGTAGCCTGGACTACATAGCGAGACCCTGTCTAAAAGAAAAATAGTGCAAACACCGAATAATTTCTGGTATGAATAAACTATAATAGTACATAAGAGCCTAATGATATAATGGACAATGTGAAATAGGAAGAAAGGGGCTAAAGGTGTAGGGAAAGTGGGAAGGGTAGGGGAAAGGTAATAAGGGAAAAGAAAAAAATATGAGAAAATGAAAAAATGGAAATGAAGTGTTTGTAAAGGGGGAGGGCAGGGACAAGGGGAAAAAATGAGAACCAAGACCTGTCATGTAAAGGTACAAGATCCCAATGATGAATGTAACTGTACTGTATACCTAGAATGTACCAATAAACTCAATGAGGAAAAAAAAAAAGGAAAAATAAAAAGAAAGAGGACTTCCAGAACTGCTCCAGGAAGTAGCAAGAACAACAGGATGAGTGTGTTTGGTGTGTCTGTGGGTGGGTGGTGTTTTGAGAGATTAACTGCATTATTCCTTTACTGTAATAATTTTTTAAATTTAAGCATTTACTTTATTTTTGGATCATATCTTATAGTTTAAAAGATAAAATCTAAGGGCTGGAAATGTAGGTAAGTAGTAGAATGCTTGTCTAGGATGAGGAAAGCCCAGAGTTAAATCCACTTCAGACAAACAGCCTAACTGATTGAAAAACTAAAATCAAGAAACTGAAGGAAGCTGCCATTTAGATGTCTGGGTGAAAGGTCATGAAGGCCAAGCCTGCCACAGAAAGCAAAAAATGGACGGGAGCCAGTTCTTGACCTGGGATTCATCCTTATGTCCTACCTTCTCTTGACTGAAATTCATTTGGCTTTTGGAACCAAAACAAACAACAAAGCTCACAACAGCAACCAAAGTTAAATTTTTATTAAACGACTTAACAACTGACATGTTTCGTTATAACTTATCTTTTTTGAGGAAACAACTTATGTATCAGAAATCAGAGATCAAGTTTTTAAAGAAATGTATTTTTATTATTTTCAATTTTCCTCTGGACTTCAAATTTCTTATTATAAAGTCAGTTTATGAGTTCTCTAAATTCTCTTCTATGCTTTATATAATCTCAGAACAGGCAGTCTCTCATATATCAATAGCTCCCTTTCAGACACAGAAGAACAAACAGTTTTTTAAGCAGTGCAGGAAAACATTCTCTACGATATAGGCTGTTACATGTTAAATCCTCATTCTATTCATAATTAGAACAAATTCTATAAAAATTCTTAAAATGAGTCAGGTTCCACACCATCTCACTTTAATTTTATGTACAAAGAATATTAGAATTTCTCATAGTGCTTGATTGCTCTATTTTTCATGAAAAAGTTTCACTAAACATTGTGCTTCTTCCATCATTTAAAGAAACTAAGAAACAGCAATTGTATTCAGTTAGAGAAAATACTGAAGTGCTACAGCCCTAACCACAGTATTTTCAACACTCTACTTTGCAAGATGAAGGGCAGGGTAATAATACAAGACATTGGAACTCCAAACACCTGTCCTGAATATTCTCATTACTCTGGTTTTAAGATAAATTAAAAGAGGAAGTAAAAGGGGTATGGGAAAGGAAAGAAGGGAAAAGAAAAAATATGAGAAAAGAAAAAAATAGAAATAAAGTCACTGTAACTAGAGGGGTGAAGGGGGTAAAGGGAGGGCAGGGGAATTGGGAAAAATAAGAACTAAGATGTAGCATGTAAAGGTACAAGATCCCAATGATGAATGTAACTGCACTGTATACCAAAAATGTACCAATAAACTTAATGAAAAAAAGTACAAAAAAAAATATAAATTAAAAGAGTGCTTATCTCAGAGTCTAAAACTTTAACCAGTGAATGAATGAAACAGGTCAAACAGCATTTCTTAAAATACTTTGGGAAAAACTGTCCAAGACTAGTAGGTGTTATCTGAGTCAATGGGGCTAAGCTTTGACTGACTTTCTGCTTCCCTGGAAATAGTTCCAAATAACATGTGTCCATTTTGTTAATAGTGTGTCTGGAAAAAAAGGGAACCCTGAATATTACATGTTCTTATTCTATGAAGTATTAATCAATTTTGTTAACTACTGATAATTTCTGCATTCTTGGGTCCCCCCCAATTCTTCAACATCTCCTTTAAATTCCTTATCAATTAAGTTAAATTAAATCTTTAATTTATGTTCATTTTATATCTATAAGCAACATGTTTTTAACTTTTTTGAAATTTATTTTTTAGTAATGACTGTCCATTTTAAAATTAATTCCTGGGCCAGGGATGTAGCTGAGTGGCACTGCACCTGCCTGGCAAGCAGAAGAACCTGAGTTTGATCTGTGGTACCAAGGCAAAAAACAAAATTCATTCCATTCAAATACCTAGGAGAATATTTACTGGAGTGATAGCAAATATATAAATATATAACCTATCAGGCTAAGAATATCTGATTTATGTTATCTAGAAGCCAGATCCTTGCAATACACAATACAATACAATATTATCCAGATCCTTGA